ACAGGTGTTTACTGAGCACCTACTAAAAGTTGACATTGCTCAGGCCATAGGGCATGAGCAGTGAGCCTAAGAACTAAGCCCCGACCTTTGGGGATCTCACACTCCACCTAAGGAGCCATACAACAAGCAAGCAAGGTAGAGCAGAATGTCCTGGAGTGGACTGTGCCACAATCCAAGCTGAAATGGAGAAATGGGACAGAGAGAGATGGGGGGAGGCAGGGAAGGAAAGTCTTTTAGGAGGTGACACTTGGGCAGATGCTTGATGCAGAGAGCTACTGCAAAGATCTATGGGGGGGGGCAGCTTCCAGGCAGAGGGAGCAGTAAGTGCAAAGGGTGAGGCTGGAATGAGCGGGTCTTAGTTAAGGGATATAGCAGAGTGGGGGATGGGGGCTGACAGGGGCTGAGGTCAGAGAGGAGGAGGTCAAAGCCAATCAATCCCCACGAGATCTTACAGGCCAGGGCAAAGTTTATTCCTTCCACTGCAGCAGGAAGGTATTGAAAGGGTCTCACTAAAGGGATGAACACACTTTATCTTTTCCAACCGTCATTCTGGCTGCTTTGGGGAGGATGAATGTGGTGGGGGAGTGGTGGCAAGAGCGAAAGCGGGGACACAGTGTCAGGGGCTCACTTTGGAAACGCTGATTTGGAACTAGGGGTGGTGGCAGTGGAAAGAAGTGGGAAGATTTGGAATACATTTTTGGGGTAGAACAGAGAGTACTTCCTACATTTTTGCAAAACTGGATGGAATTACAGCGCCATTTACTGAAATGGGTACAACTTATGGAGAACAGCTTTAAGGGAAAAAAATCAGGGGTTCAGGTGTGCACATGCTAAGCCTGAGACATTATCATATAACTTATAAAAAAATAGGACACTTTGAGAGTGAAAAGGGAGTTATTAATTATTAAGCCAGGACAGTAGGCATAAACCAAGACTATCTCAAACAGGACGTATTTAAACAGCACCTTACCTATTTGCTATCAGTTCTTTTCACTTTGAAAATTACTCTTTGTGTGTAACGGGGGCAGAATATGCCACCCCAAAATATGTCACTTTGGCCTAGGATTATTGTGAGCTGAAGGCAATTGAGAAGAATCTGTTACAAGAAAAGCTCTCTGCCCTGCCCCTGTGTGTCCAAAAGCAGGACATAAATTTGTCAACGTGACCTCCCACCCCTCTCTACCAAGGACAAAAGTCAATCATCACTGACAACTTTAGACCCTTATCAGTTTGGAGATGCTACAAGGAATCCACATAACAAAATTAACTAATTAGCTTTTTTCTGTCATGTGTCTCCCATATACATACTTGCCTTCCCACAATTGGCTGCCCCTACCAAGGTCCCTGTCCTTTGCCTTGTCACTTCTCTAAAAATTCATTGTTCCTTTGCTAAGATGCTACATAAGCCCAAACTCTAACCAAACCTTTGCGTTACTCACGTCTGGGTACTCACTCCCATGTGTTACTTGCAAAATACACACATTCATAAACTTGTTTTTCTCTTACTCCACTTTCTTTGTCAGTCCACTATGGCCCCAGTCAGAGAACCCAGGAGGGTAGCAGGAAAAAGAATTTTCCTCCCCTACATATGATAGTATCTTCTTTTAAGTACTGTAACACTGTTACACAAAGATCCAACTAGTGCCAGGTGCCTTAACTTTTAGTTGAATCAAAGCTCCAAATTCTGTATTTTTTCGCCAGCGATGCTGCATCTTCCAGAGTGGGGAAGATCTTAAGAGTTGGCACTTTCTGCTAAGAATTAAGCTCTGCTAATTTTCTAATACACACAGAATATTTTCAGACTCAGTAAGTGCATTATATAATTTTCTTTAAATTTTATAGTGAACACAGAAGTCTTCTCACACCCTATTTTAGTAACATAGGTACATATCTTTCTTGTTCCTCTTTAGATGGTACCTTGGCAATCGGATTCTTTTTGGACAGATCCTCTCCCTCCCGAAGAGCCACAGGGGCGGTGATCCAGGCGCGCTTCTGTCGCACTAAGTGCGTATGTTTAGGAAGCAGCTTATTTTCATTTCTTGTGTTCAAGGCCTGTAAAAGATTGCCACACCCAAGGCATTAGTATGGTAGCCTGTAACTTACTAAAGCTTTAAAAATGGTTGTGTCAATTTTAAGGTATACATTTCATATTTCTTTACAGGCTTCATTTTCAACGAGGAAATGTATACACTCTAGCAAACTCTCCAGGCGGTCAGGAGATTGTCTCCAGACCAGTAAAACAGTACAGTTTAGTTTTTATCAGTAAGAAAAAATTTCCCGGAGGGAAGAGTTTAACCAGTTAAAGGGTAATTTAGTGGCCTGATAAACAGGTCCTAGTTAAATTCTTAAAATACCATTTCAAGAAATTTTTTTTTTTTCTTACAGAAATTCCATTTTTCTGAGGTGGCTCATATGTTTAAAATGAATTATGGAATGTTGTAACACTAAATCTTAGTAACCTACTGATATCAATTTGACTAAAACTAGTTAAAAAAATGAATTTATTGTTTTAAAGATGGGGTAAACTATTAAATTGCCTATCTTTTGTTTTTAGAGCCTTTAAATGGAAAAGTATTCTATAAATTTTCAATTAGGCTTTAATAGATAAATATATATTTTATTCAAGGAAAATTTCAATACAGCTGACCTAGTATCTTAAGATCAGAAATGATTATTATATTAGGTCTCTCATTTTACTCATTTTGTTGCTCTACATAACATGTATTTTATTTTAAATATTTACAGTGGTTATCACTAAGTCATTGATTTTTTTTTTGTTTTTAGTTGAAAAAATTCTATAACTTAAATTACATAAAACATTAAAATAACAATAAAGTTTATAACATAAAAATGTAAAACTTGCTTCTATATTTCAGTGTATTCACTATTAACAGCTTGATGAATGTCTTTCATGATCTTTTCTTATGACCATACAGTTTGCACATGTTTAAAGGTCTTTTTCCTATAAAAATGGAATTATCGTGTTTCTCATTCTGCCCTTGATTTTTCATTCAGTACCTCACCATGGACATTCATAAACCGTAAATTGTTTTACCATTCTCCTATTGATGGACAGTATAAGACTGTCAAACAATGCTGCACTGAACATCCTGGAGATACCAGGGATGCCAAAAAAATGTATACACGACTTGTATTCATCTTTTGTTATCGGTATATATTGAGTATTACAATTTTAATACAGTTTTTCTTTCTTAAAATGTGTATACATTTTTTTTTGGCTCCCTCTGCATGTTTCTTTGCACTTGTTTGGGTGAGAATGGCTGGCTCTAAGTGAGTGTGCATTTTTAATCTGGTGAGGCGCAGCCAAATTGTCTTCCATGAAATTAAGCCTCTGAGTCCAAAAGACAGAAATAATCCCTTTGGTTCCTTACCTCTAAATGGAGTGTATTCCCAAAGTTAAAGCAAATCTGGAAAATAAAATTATTTGTTGTTTAATATGATTTATCATTCAATTCAGTTTAAATAATTTTATGAATGAATAACCCACCACCTAGGGTATTATAGACATTAAAAACAAAAACAAAAAAAAAGTTTAACCATCACTATCTCCCTTAGTCAAAAGGAAACAAATTTTAATTTTTCCCTTTGCCTCCCTGCCATGACTGGGGATGGAGAGCGCAAGCTACACTCTTTTTTGATCTACTGCCTCCTCCAGGAATCTGAGAGCACAACTAATATCTGAAAAACAAAAACAAAAACTTTCCTCTTGAAACGTTAACCAATCACTGATCCTTTTCTCCTTACCCTGTGGTTTTCCCCTCATGACTCACCTTTCCCTGCAGCTAACTCCCCTCATTCCCTGGAGTCACACACACAACCGCTCGTATTAGGACACAATTCCTCACCTTCCTCAGTCTCACCAACTCTTTTCTTTGGTTCCTATCAAGCATGGTCACATTTTGGATTCATTACACAGAACTACGTACAGTTATGTTTACTCTAAGATCAGCACAATAAACTCCTGTCCTGCTTTTAGACTATTGCTTCACTTCCTTTATAACTCTTTGATCTTCTCTGGGCGTACACTTTTCTCTTGGCTTAATCTAAACCAGCACTTTCTAATACGGTAGCCACATGTGACCATTTACACTTAAATTGCTTGTATTAATAATTAATAATTCATTTGCTCAATAGCCACATGAGTTAAGTGGCTTGAGACACTGCAGACATCCATCATTGGAAACAATGCTATTGGACAATGCTAGTCGATTATTGCCAGCCCTTCTAACGCTGTTGTCAATGACTCAGGGATGCTTCATTCTCTGACCTTCTAATACTCCTGCCTCACTTTTNTTGAATTGACTGCTAGCTCTGGGTGGTTTACATAGAACAGGAGGCTCAGCACGCTGTCCACCTGCCATGTGCCATCTACACACACGAACACTCACTTGCGTGCACAAACTCACTTCCTTTCCCTTCATTTCCCTTTCTCTCTCTGTCCTCCATCCTCCCTTTCATTATTTCTCGTCTCAAGCTTAAGCTCTCTGGGTCTCTTTGGATCTCTGCTCTCCCTTTCCCCTTCTCCGCCTTCCTCCCTCCATCCTCCTGGTGTCTACTCCTTCTCCAAGGGCACCTCCCTCCACAGTCCTCCCCCTGACTCCCAATGCACACATACACACACTTTATCTCTTACACTGTATTTTTACTGTATCTTTTCTATGTTTAGATACACAACTACCACTGTGTTACAGATGCCTAGTTTTCAGTACAGTGGCATGCTGTACAGGTTTGTAGCCTTGGAGCAACAACAGGCTGTATCATATAGCCTACCAGCGGTTCTCAACCTGTAGGTTGCGACCCCTTTGGGGGTCGAACGACCCTTTCACAGGGGTCGCCGGGTACTCATATGTGGGCGTATCTGCATGTGGGCCTGGAGACAGATAGAGGAGCAGTGTCTCGGTTCCTAAGACCATTGAAAATATGTGTTTTCCGATGGTCTTAAGCGACCCCTGTGAAAGGTTGAGAACCGCTGATACGTGTTGTAGTAGCTATACTTTCGAGGTTTGTGTAAGTGCACTCTATAATTTTGCACAACGATGGTATTGCCTAATGATGCATTTCTTAGACTGTCTCCCCGTTGTTAAGCAACATGACTGTACCGGGCTGCCAGCGTTTTTTGGATATTGTGTTTTCGCATCCATCGTCTACAAAACACCCATCTGTGTCTCCTGCTTACGGTGAGAAGAAGGCATTTACTCTTGAGATGAAACTCAAGATAATTGCCCAACTGTGGGCTAATGTAAGTGTTTTGAGCTTGTTTAAGATAGGCTAGGCTAACCTATGATATTCTGTAGGCTAAGTGTATTAAATGCATTTTCAACTTACGATCTGATACTTCCAATGTACGACAGGTGCATTGGAGCACAGCCCCGTGAATAGAGGAGCATCTGTGCTTCTGACTTAAAATGCAGCGGAGGCAAAAGGCTGAGCTGCCCATTGTTCTTGGATCAAAAATAAACATACTCAAATTTGTCACAAAATGTGTTGTAGGAAATATAAAGAATAGTCCAGGATTCTGCTCGGGTTCAGTTAGTTATAATCACTTTTCAATGAGCAATTTTTGCCAGGTAAAGTAAAAATATTAAATTGCTAAAGTAAAAATATACTTAAATCTACCTCTTTCTCTGTAAATGCACTTGAATTGGCCTGCTTGTTATACCATTTGAGGATCAAGGTAATTTCTTTNGGAAGGCGGGTGCTAGTGCCATCTAGTGGGTAGAGGCCAGAGATGCTGCTCAATATCCCACAATGCACAAGGCGCCCTCCACCCCATCAAAAGCAATTTCTGTTTCCAAAAGGTAAAGTGCCAAGGTCAAGAAATTCCGATTTAGACCACGTTTCTGATTGGCAATTACTGTAATCACTAGGATCAAGAAGGTCCCATAAGTTCCTGAGGACCATGAGGATTTATGCAAATTTCCAAATAGGTAGCATATGGCAGGCAATATAAATAGAATAACTGGCTCTCTGTCCTCCATTCCCACTCCTTCCCACTTCCCTCTGAACGTTTCCAGCTCTGCACGTTGGAGTGACCTCCTGTGGGGAATGTTGTAAAAGAGCTTCAAACGCTGGAAGGATGCCTGGTCAGGATGACCATTAGGGTTTCTCCCAACTATGAAATCTATACCTCTTTTTTTCCTCACGAGGAACTTGGGTGACAGAAAAATATCATGTGCCACTTGCTTTAAAGAGTGAAGAGGAAAGTAAGCTTCTAGTCTCTGTATCCAAAGAAGTACTGTTTGTAGATGCACTAGTAAAGCCTTCAAGAGCATTCCCAATTTACTAAAGTTAAAAAAAAAATCTACGTGTTGGAGCTTATGCATCTTGTAAAAACTGGCCTTCCTGGTAACTGGCAAGAAAATATTTTGGCTTTGGCAGAAGCATGAGGGAAGGTCAAACATCACTGCAAAAATACAATCAGTCAATGTACCCTTTGTTCTCCAGGTTGGCACCTTTAAAACAGACTTCCTGTTCTGCAGTCACCTTGATGAGTCTAACAAGCAGAATCCAGGGCTTATGAGGCAATGGATGACAGCACTTCCTGGCTGATAGGTTCTCAGCGAGGAAGCCTATAAAATTTCTTACTTTATAGCTAAACATCATAACTTATTCAGAAAATCCCAATTTATGACCCACACCTAAGTAGAGTTTCTATAGCAGCCTCATTCAATGGCTAGTTTAAACAATTATATTTTTGTTTTCACAGCTGCTAACTTAAAAGACTCAACAGCCAAGGGAAGCAATATTCTCAACTTGAGGTTTTGATCTCTGAATTTGAATTTTAGATAGTAAAGCTACATACTTTAAGTCTAACTAAGTTATATGATTTATCATGATCTTTCACCTGCTTTTCAGATGTTGGGGCTAATCTTAGTGTAACAAATATGATTTGGGGGTGAGTCATACTGAAGTTAGCTTCAAAGAGAAACGTATTTTCCTTTGAAGCATTTATTGCCCCAATGATTTTTAAATATAAATTTAGCAACGCTGTGCTATACTCAAGTTGTTAGACCATGTTGGGCATTCTAACTTCAAGTTGAGTTTTGTGTAATCATGGACAGCTCCTATTTTTTCGTTGGTATAAGGAACAAGGACAAATAAACTGAAGGCCAGGACAAGTCAACATGATACTTTATTTAGTGTCAGTTTTTTTTTTTTTTACTCCCAATTAGTTTCTAAATAGGGATGTGAACAGTGGTTCTCAAACTTGAGTGGCACCAGAATCGCCCTGTTAAAACAAAGATTTCTGGGCCCCACCTGAGAGTCTGATTCAGCAGGTCTGGGGTGGGGGAGAGAAGCATCTGTATTTCTAACAAGTTTCCTGGTGCTGCTGGCTGATGCTGTGGGATTGGGGATCACGCTTTACACCAATGTGTAGAGTCACAGAGTAGCAAGGGAAAGAGAAGAGGCTAGCCAGGCTGATTCATAAACTGAATAATGAACCCTTAATTACAGAGAGGTGTGAAACATCGGATTCTAAATAAGGATATTCAGTCACCGAGTTATTCCCATCACAAGATTTTCCCACTTTACCAGTAATAATCAACTACAACAGGATTGCTTTAAATAGTGTTTTCACCTGGTTCATAGCTCCTCGTCTAGCTTAAGTTTTACTTGATCCTGAGCGTTTTCTTTGAACTATTTTACCATTTTATTTGTATGTATTTTCTATTACTACACATGTTTTTGGAATCAGGAAAAATATAAGTAAATCCGTGTAACACCTCACATAATTTGACAGACAAAAATGATAGGCTGTTTCCACCTTTTTGCTGCAATATATTCCTGAAAATTATACTAAAAAATAAAGAAAATCAAATACAACCCCTACCCCCAAAGTTTAAGAAACCAAGAGCTTCAGCTTGTCCTTTCCCACCATTAGATGGCACTGGTCTATCAAGAAGGCGAAGAACTTCAGGAACCACCGGAAATTGGCCAACAGTGGACTCCAAGGTCAGAGGTGGAAAACAGGCATTTTCAATTAGCCTCAAATAAGTGGATGGCAAAATTGAAGTAAAACTCAATGGCTTTTCAAAAGCTGTAGGTATACTTCTTGCAGGACTATTACCTGTGTAACTAGACAAATCTTAATTTTCAATGCTTCTCTTTTTTCCTTCCTAGTATTCTAATTTGTAATGAAACTAAATCAATGATTTAGCCCGGAAGTTCAGGCCTTATTGATGACAAACAATAGAAAGCTGCTGTAAAAGGAGCGATGACTTTGGATTGCCAGGTGTATGGTGTCTGGGGATCTGGGCTCTGTCAGGCTTCGCCCACTGCTAACGTTCACTAAAGGCAGTGACTGGCACACAGTGGGTGCTCAAAAAATGTCAAGTTCTCTTCCCTACACTCCGCTTCGCTCACTGTAAGCTTCATGACCACCAGAGTTCACGAGCACCTAGAAGACTGTTTGCATATAGAGAAGCACAGTACTGACTGCTGAATGTGTTAAACAAAAATTTACCTCGCAGCCTATCCAGGCATTAAATACTTCTTCTAAACAAATGATATTCAAATTACGATTCCAGCTTTTGTAAACACAGAAAGATACTGTAACACCTACATTTTTCAAGAATACTTCTGTGTCCAAGGCGTTGAACTGGTTTATAGATACATGCCATGTAGATACTGTTGTGAAGCTTACAAGTTTAGTAGGCAAGATAAAGTGTACATAAATTACTCTAACATGAGGTAGACAAACTTATTTGCGTGAATGACAACCTTATTTGTGTAAACACAGTTCTGGGGAGCTTGGGGAAGGCCGAAATTGCTTCCTGCTAAGGAAATCACAAGAGGGTTAGGGCGGAAGGTGGCCATGGACGTGACCTTGAGGGAGCAGAACCTGTGTCTGCAGACAGGAGGCAGCGGGAAATGAGTGGCATCGCAGACA